CTTCAGATATAATGTTCAGTGCACATTTGATTAGAAAAGTAGAAATCAAGGTCTTGAAAATGGAAATTAATTACAGTATAGACTCTTCTACATTGATACATGTGCCATTAGACAAATCTTGGAACTAATCTATAGCAATGGTTCTCAAGCATGACTGCACATTAGAATTGCTAGAGGCGGTTTAAACATTTCTAATGCCCAACTTGTACCTGAGACCGATCAAATCAGACTCTTTGGGGGTGGAACCTAGGCATCAAAGTTTTTATAGACTCCCCAGGAGATTATAATATGCAACCAAATTTGATAACCAGTGAAACAGTTTAGTCCAGCCAATGAATTTCCAAACAAACTCGCTCTGCCAGTTTGGCTTAAAATGGGCAGTGGGAAGCACATCTATTTATATTTTTCAGCTCTTTTGTAGACATCTCTAACAGAAATAAAGTTACTCCTCTTAAAAAGATAAAAGGTAAGAATGGCAATAGGATCTCTGGATAGATATGTTTTGTAGTACCTGCTCATTCCACGAGAAACTTGTGAACTGCTTTCCTTCCCATCTGCAGTCAAGGGTTCTGGGCCAATTGGAATCTCAAGTCTGGGACTTGTGAATTGAAACTGAGAATTGGTATTTCCATGTGGCTGGATGAATGGGCTGTGGAATGGCTGAGTACTTACCTTATTTATTAAGGTCCTAGGGCACCGCCCCTGACCCCAGCCCCCATGCCTTTGGACATATCCTTCACAGCAAATTAGAGATAATTTCCCCTTATTCAAACGTTAAAATATCAGCAGTACTTACACTATTAGGAGCAAGATGATATGCTTAAATCTTTCCAGGTTCAGCATAAACATTGACAATGATAAGTTGGACTGATGAAAACCAATCAATACCATTTCCCACACTTCACCTCTGTAAAGCTTCACAGGATAACAGGTGATTAACTACACAAGGATATGGCACCAGTAAACATCAGTGTTATCCGTGGCCCATGTTTATTGGTTATTTAATTCTTATAAGTCAAATTATTTTGACTTAATGTGACTCTAAATTTTATTAAAACCACCCAAACCAGAACCAAAATATTCGTTAAGATGTACAGAGCCAATATTTATGATGAATGCACTGTAACTTCGATTTATCCTTTGCCGTAAGTTAACTGTATTACCTACAGTTATGTTTTGTATAATTTAAAATATGAGAAAGAAAAATATCTTCATCTTAGGTGACCAGTCTCTGACAAAAGAGAAGCTCAGGTTTCAGCATATCTTGTTTTAGATGAAGAGTGAGTCTGAGGAATAACCTTACAGGGTGGTCAAGGACCACAGCACGACCCCCCAGCCCACTCACCCAACCAACCTCACACACACACACACACACACACAAAAAAAAAAAACACCCAAAAACCAAAAACCAAAAAACCAACCAACCAACCTGGGTGACACTTCTGGGAGTTCTGGTGGAGCCCGGGTCGCAGGCCTGGAGAAGCAATCAGCCTCTACTGGAAAAGGGTTCTGAGGACAAAGGCATTTGAGCAGTGTTGCATTTTCCACTCCCCCTTGGACATTCCTATGCTTGTTAGTCTATTAAGGCCACTGAGAACTTCTCCAGTGAAGACAGGTGACTGTTCCTGCTCTTGTGTTTTCCAACATTGCTGGACCACAGGCTTCTTCCCCATTCGCATTAGATGTATTGTTTCTTGACACCCACTCTGGGAAATGCTGATCTTGAAGTGGAAGGGCTGACAATGTAGGAAGAAAGAATCTGAGTGGAGCAAAAGAGAAGGAAATGCTGAGAGAACCAGGAAATCCAAAGTCCCGGCAGGGCGCTAGCGTGCTCTGGCGGCCACCAGTATCTGGGATGTCCACCTTGCTCTGTCTTTGAATCCCCATCTTAATTCCCTCAGGGTGGGAAAAGCACTGGGTTGGAAGGGAGAGGTCCTGGATTGCATTCTCCTTTCTGCAACTGACTGCCCTTGGACAGTTAACTTTCCAACCTGAATCTCACTTTTCTGTCACAAAATCAGAGTTTAAAGAGGGAAGAAATGGTCTTGTCTTTTCTAGACCCAATTAGATGATTCTACGTCAACTATTACAATGGAAGAAGAAGAGAAAATAGGATTTTCTAGGTAAGAACTCTCTTTTTGACCAACTTTTCTGGATTGCAAAATGAATGATGTATGAAATAGTAGTCCTATGAGCCAACCACATGTGGATACATGATTCTTAATCCTCACTGTTCCGGACATTTTGATTGAAGACTGAGAGTAACAGGAGGGAACCTGGAATAAACCTAGTTTTAATACTGTATTTCTGTCACTAAACAGTGTAAAAAAAAAATCTAGAAGCTTTCACTAGCTAGAGCTTTAATTAAAGCCAAAGGGTAAATTTAACATTAAAAGTTTTTTTAATTAATTGTCCTTCAGGTTGTAAAATCTGTGTCTACACTGTTCTTGGTTATTAAACATGGTTTGCAGGTCAAAAAAAAACTCAAGATGAGATTGAAATGACTAATTTAAATGAAACTAATCTAAAAATATGGAGAAATACAATAGGACACATTAATAAACAAAACTGCCTATGTATTATGCTATGTCACTATTTTCTTTTAATAGAAAATAAAATTAATTGGAAAGTGAATTTCTAACTGCCAGGGAAGTTGAACTATTGATCTGATGCCCTGTATAGCTGACAGCAGTTTTTCCCATAATTGCTATAACCCAGGCTTTGTAATTAAATAATTAAGAGATTGAAGGCTTAAATTGCATTTTGAATCATATGAAACAAGAAACTGAACCAGTCCTAAAACTGATAATAATTACCTTAAGATGTATTGCCATATTGAATCAAACTACTTTTTCAGGATCCATTTGCAATAGCTTCAGATATAATGTTCAGTGCACATTTGATTAGAAAAGTAGAAATCAAGGTCTTGAAAATGGAAATTAATTACAGTATAGACTCTTCTACATTGATACATGTGCCATTAGACAAATCTTGGAACTAATCTATAGCAATGGTTCTCAAGCATGACTGCACATTAGAATTGCTAGAGGCGGTTTAAACATTTCTAATGCCCAACTTGTACCTGAGACCGATCAAATCAGACTCTTTGGGGGTGGAACCTAGGCATCAAAGTTTTTATAGACTCCCCAGGAGATTATAATATGCAACCAAATTTGATAACCAGTGAAACAGTTTAGTCCAGCCAATGAATTTCCAAACAAACTCGCTCTGCCAGTTTGGCTTAAAATGGGCAGTGGGAAGCACATCTATTTATATTTTTCAGCTCTTTTGTAGACATCTCTAACAGAAATAAAGTTACTCCTCTTAAAAAGATAAAAGGTAAGAATGGCAATAGGATCTCTGGATAGATACGTTTTGTAGTACCTGCTCATTCCACGAGAAACTTGTGAACTGCTTTCCTTCCCATCTGCAGTCAAGGGTTCTGGGCCAATTGGAATCTCAAGTCTGGGACTTGTGAATTGAAACTGAGAATTGGTATTTCCATGTGGCTGGATGAATGGGCTGTGGAATGGCTGAGTGTTTCGGCAGATGGACGGAGTAGCTGAGAACCTCCCAGGGCAGACATCCATCGTTTTTGCCTGCTTGGCATCCTCATTTTCTTAACAGCGCCCTCTTCTTCCGGGACTACCTTGCTCCCACTCCACGTGATCCTGTGGGTAACTGACAAGTCAAGCCTACCAGCCTTCTGCTCCTTGAGCAGAGATTCAAGGCAATAAAAGGGGGGCACTGTCATTTTGGTGACCATTGCTGGGAGAAACTTAGTTCTTGCTATATCCCTGGAGCTGCCATGATCCCTGTGCCTCCTGGGGCCTGACTGTGCGAGTCTTTGAATTCTGGGATCAAGGGTGTCTGCTGCTTGTAATTAAAGAATCCTAACAGTTTTATAGGTCCTGGCTCAAACGCATTTAAGAGTCTGTGGCATTCTGTTTTGGGGTTCATAAGGTCCCTTCATCCTTAGGTATTTTAGCTCATGATGTTTCATTGTCTGTTAGATGTCTTAACTAGTACAGACTTCTAATTGACTCACCAATTTGTGTGGATGGTCCTAAAACTGACTAAAACAAGAATAAATCTTTCCCAAGTCCTGTTTCAGTCTTCAAGATTATAATCAAGAGAACCCAACTATTTTCTCACTCACTGTGCTTTCTGAAGCCCTAGTTATTTATTTGCATTTTTTAACTATGAAGATGTCGGAGAAAAATTTATAACAAAGGTATACTTTGTGAACAATAGGATTAAAAGCATATCAAACAGAAACATGGGCCAAAATAATGTATGATGCTTTGAACAGGAGCCCAGATCTACTTCTGGAAAAAGAACTCTTATTTCCTCTGTCAAGCAACATTAAATGAAATTATAGTACTGCCATTAAATCCAACTGTACACCAATAATTTTTCATTTCCAATGGTAGTCTTCTTTATTAAAAAATCTTTATTAAATAACAAAATATGTCAGATAATGTAATAAGTACTTCCTTGGGCTCAATATTAATATACTTGGCACATAATTCAAGGCCAGCTACTTGAGCTCAGGAAGCATGATTTTTTCCCTTGTGATGCAGTGAGCAGGGTCACAGAGACCTAACCTTGAAGACGAAAGGAAGCTCCTCCATTTCTTCTGGCCCAAGTCACAGAAGTGGTGAGGTATATGAGGTGTTCAAATGGGTGACTCTTGTTAAATCTGGATCCATGGAGCTAGATTTGTATCATCTTATTAGAATTCAGAGCTAATTGGGTAAAAAAAAACAAAGCAAAGCACAGTACCAAGCAGTGTAAGTGATTAACAACAGTGCTGTGATCTATGGAAAACTGTGGAAGAACTACGATGAAATGAACATAGTGGGACCAGGGCCAATAACACAGGATCATGAAGTCTGACCAGCTAGCTCGGTGTTTCCTTTTCTAAGAGCCTGTATCATCTTGGAATATTCTGGTAAAGAATGAGGGGTAAGCAAAAGGGAGCAGTTGAAAAGGTATTCTTCTGATCATCATGCTTTATTTTTAATACAGATAGGTAATAAAATAAAAGGTACCCAGGTATCTTTTAAACAAGAATACATTTTCTGTATGTCAAGCCATCATTTACAGATTAACACTGCAAAAATTGATTAACTCTTAATTTGTGTACATAAGATTATATGAAACAAACAAAATTATAAGCAGGATGAAAACCAACAAATATGAACCAATTCAAAGTCCCAAACTGTTGTCTATTAATTCCTTCACAGCTCAAAAAAATTACATGCATCTACAAAAAGAATGTAGGTATTCTTAACGTTGAACATTACATACAAAGTAACTTCATTTCTCTTGGTTACTTTGGAGTCCTCGGACCTGCCTGACACATACTGTGGTGCCATTTAACGGAGTCAGAAGCGCTATCCTGCTCCGCCTGGGGTGGCCACTCTTTGTCCTGGAAGAGGGATTACACCAGCTCGTAATATTTCCCTGTCTGGGGATCAAAGTAACAGTTCAGACACGGGTCGTACAGCAGAGTCAGCACCTCCTCGTCCTCTTCCCCACTCAGGTCCTCTTCACCTGTGGGAAGGGGAACCACAGACATGTTAGCTGCCTGCCTAGCCCACCGTTCCTAAACTGCATCGGCAGGAGAGCAAGGAAGCAGGAATCACGATCCCTCCTGGGAGACGCTCCTCATGCAGGCAGAACAGCAGTGCCGGAGTGGAGGCACCGTGACGTGACCACTCTGGGTGTGCAGCGTGAGGCAGAGAAGCAGCAGTGACTGCAGGGCCAGCTTCGCTAGGAAGGCTAAGAAAGACAGTGTGTGGAGAAGTGACAGGGAGGGGGATGAAGAAAGGGCCAAGGGATGAAACGGTTGTGCTAGTTAGGATTAGGGAAACTTGAACGGGATTCAAAACTTGATGTCACAGTTCTAGACTTCTTCCTGGGTCAGAGCTGTACGTATGCAGAACAGGGCAATTAAATGATGAAGAACTCAACCCCCATCCTAAAAAGGCTACCAGATAAATGTGAATTAAAATAATGTTGTTTAGATATATAAGATGCACAAAGCATAGAACACATATGGAGAACGCAATGTCTGGTGATCTGTAATCTTATCAGTGGTAGGAAGGTTGGTCAAGTTTGCTGGGAAAATGAACATGGCTTGATGTTTGTTTCTTGTGACAGCCCTTTAGACGGTTTGGATGAAGAGAACTCCTGCCGCCTGAGTTATTAGCAAGGTTTGGTTGATTCCCAACAAACGGCATGGAATGAATAACACATGTTTTACTGAGATGTTTCCTGAGCACTTGGTACATGCCCAGTATTGTGCTAGGTCCTGGGGCACCTGACATCACCACCAGCAAGTCTTCTGAGTGGATTTCAGGAGAAATCCATGGATCAGAGGGTCCTGGAAGGGCTAGACGTCCCTGAGCTGGTGAACATCAGAGTAGGCTTAGGGAGGACGGGTGACCAGACAGCGCTCCTCTTTCTTCCTTAGAACGGGCTACTTAGGACCAAAGCAAACCACATCTCAGGCTGTGAGCTTACCAGCGTCAGTTGCAGAAGGGCTTGGGTGGTGGGCTGGGGACAGGGCTGGCATGTCATAGTGGCTCAGTCAATATTGAGGGCTTTGTAAGAGTGAATAAATGATTGTGAAACAAAGCCTGTGATCTCAGTGTCCTGCCCAGAGTAAGGGAAGGTGGTGGTGGTGGTGGTGCTGGGACTCCGTCTTACCCAGCCAGTCAGACTATGCTGGTGAATGAACAGTGGCAGGTCAGTGGCAAACGAGGTGAGTCCTAGCAGACGGGGCCAAGATGGTGGAGCTGGGGTTTGCAACACAGCCATTCCCCTGCGTATCCTTCTCTAACCATCCAAAGACATTCAACATGCTCCTTCCCTGCATCAGGACTGAGCCAGATGTTGGGACGTGATGATATAAGTAACAGGCCCTGTTGTCAAGGTGTGCCCTGTGAGGCAGGCAAAACAGGAAATCAGCCGACTCCTCTGAGCCATACGCAGTGCTAGCAGTCCTTAGGAAGCAGAGCCTAGGAGGAATGATCATGTCTACCTTGCTTACAAATACCCTCAATGGTTTAGACAGCACTTCCTCATGCAGCGGCCTATCCGACCCTCCTGACCCTGTTTAATAGGCAGGAATCACTGCGCACATCGTACAGACGAGGGAACCAGGATCTGCCAGGTCAAACAGGTCATCTGAAGCCTCTTGGTGCGTCAGAAAAGGAGTCCAGTAAGGTGGGTTCCAGATTCTCAGTTCAGTGTTCTTTCTATCATATCGACTCAAGGCTTTTTAGCAATGTCTGGTGATCTGTAATCTTATCAGTGGTAGGAAGGTTGGTCAAGTTTGCTGGGAAAATGAACATGGCTTGATGTTTGTTTCTTGTGACAGCCCTTTAGACGGTTTGGATGAAGAGAACTCCTGCCGCCTGAGTTATTAGCAAGGTTTGGTTGATTCCCAACAAACGGCATGGAATGAATAACACATGTTTTACTGAGATGTTTCCTGAGCACTTGGTACATGCCCAGTATTGTGCTAGGTCCTGGGGCACCTGACATCACCACCAGCAAGTCTTCTGAGTGGATTTCAGGAGAAATCCATGGATCAGAGGGTCCTGGAAGGGCTAGACGTCCCTGAGCTGGTGAACATCAGAGTAGGCTTAGGGAGGACGGGTGACCAGACAGCGCTCCTCTTTCTTCCTTAGAACGGGCTACTTAGGACCAAAGCAAACCACATCTCAGGCTGTGAGCTTACCAGCGTCAGTTGCAGAAGGGCTTGGGTGGTGGGCTGGGGACAGGGCTGGCATGTCATAGTGGCTCAGTCAATATTGAGGGCTTTGTAAGAGTGAATAAATGATTGTGAAACAAAGCCTGTGATCTCAGTGTCCTGCCCAGAGTAAGGGAAGGTGGTGGTGGTGGTGGTGCTGGGACTCCGTCTTACCCAGCCAGTCAGACTATGCTGGTGAATGAACAGTGGCAGGTCAGTGGCAAACGAGGTGAGTCCTAGCAGACGGGGCCAAGATGGTGGAGCTGGGGTTTGCAACACAGCCATTCCCCTGCGTATCCTTCTCTAACCATCCAAAGACATTCAACATGCTCCTTCCCTGCATCAGGACTGAGCCAGATGTTGGGACGTGATGATATAAGTAACAGGCCCTGTTGTCAAGGTGTGCCCTGTGAGGCAGGCAAAACAGGAAATCAGCCGACTCCTCTGAGCCATACGCAGTGCTAGCAGTCCTTAGGAAGCAGAGCCTAGGAGGAATGATCATGTCTACCTTGCTTACAAATACCCTCAATGGTTTAGACAGCACTTCCTCATGCAGCGGCCTATCCGACCCTCCTGACCCTGTTTAATAGGCAGGAATCACTGCGCACATCGTACAGACGAGGGAACCAGGATCTGCCAGGTCAAACAGGTCATCTGAAGCCTCTTGGTGCGTCAGAAAAGGAGTCCAGTAAGGTGGGTTCCAGATTCTCAGTTCAGTGTTCTTTCTATCATATCGACTCAAGGCTTTTTGTTAAGAAGGTGGTGTAACATATTCATTTGAGAGCTATTATATCATGGGAATGTAAACATGGAAAAGAATAAAAAATTGTAAAGGTGTATTATATTTTTAAAAAGTCAGATTTGGAAGCAAAAAAAAATTGATTTCTCATATTTCAAAAATAACTGGCAAAGGTAAAAGAGTCCATGTGGGAGGCAGAAGCAAACAGATCAAGGAGCCCAAAGGAACTGGCCTATTGGCCCCCAAAGACAGAAAGCTTAATGGAGGCGACAGCAACCCTCGGGCTTCAAGTGGTGAGTGAGCCAGGTTAAGATTCTGCAGAGTTACGAGGGGCCAGCTCCAGGTTCAGCACAAGCAAGAATATTCTGATGATTAGAGCCGCCCAGGAAATGGAACATGGGCTCTGTGGAGGGTACGGCAGGGATCCCGGCAAGATTTTGTACATAAACCCTGCACAGGAGAGGGGCCAGATCCAGTGATCCCCGCAGTGCCTCCGATGACTTTCTGTGACTCGTGGCTGCAGTGGCTTATGTTCTTGAAGAATGACAGGACTTTCTTTGCTAATGGCCATGTTAGCAGTGGAAGCTGGCCCGAACATCCGCCATGGTTTCTAATTAAGAACAGAGCTCAGGGAAGGCAGCTTGCCTTTCCTTTATTTTCTATTGTGACCTCAAGAGTGAACTCCAGGGTCCTGCGTCTACCCTCCCCTCCTCTAAGTAGGAGCGGCTGAGAATGCCTTCCAAGTGGCTGCTTCCTATGGAAGATGACCCCCTTTAGGTCACTTCTGCTCATCAAAAGAGAGTGTGCACGTCCTTTATTTCAGATATTCAATCCATCATCCCTGTCATATTTGGGCTACTTCAGAGAACAGAACAAGTAATTACTGTGTGCCTGCTATGTGACTGAACGGTCTCAATGTGGATGTGACATACGCATGCAAAACAAAGCAGCTACTAAAGATTAATGAGGAGTTAAACTGGGAGTTGCAACTGCCGAGTGCTATGAGTGTCCTTGGGCTCTGGAATCCAACACACTTGGTGACGGATTGGAGCTCTGCCGTTTACTGCTGGAATGACCTTAGGCTGGTTACAGGCGATTTCACCTCGCTGACATTTGTTTCCTCATTTATAAAATGGGAATCACAGTGTCTATTTCATAGGGTTTTGTGGAAGACTAAAAAAATGGACACTAGATAATCTACATAGCCTGGTGCACATGGTAGTTGTTCAATAAATGATCGTTACTATTACGATCAAGGATAATAACAATAACAAAATAAATCATAAGCTATAACGTCATAACTTTTTTAGTAGCTCAGAACAGGCACACTGATAAAGCTTAGAGTTAAGAAAAGGCTTCACAGAGATTTAGGCAATGGAGTCAGACAGAGCCGGGTCCAAATCTCATTGCTACCGCTTCACAGCTGTGGGACATTGGGAAAAATTCACCATTCGGAGCCTGTTTCCTCATGAGTAAAGTAAGGACAGTAATAGTACCTATGAGAACTAAATAAGATACCACTCAGTGACACTCAGCGCACACACAGTGAGTACTCAATAAATGCTAGAATCATCGTCATGGAAAATGTAAGATAATCTGAGTTAGGCATGAGAGGGGCATTCATTTATACTTCATTTCCTACCCCAAAACTGCATCTGTTTGGTCTGTCACTACTAAAAGAAAAAAAAATAGAATAGTGGATCTGAATGGAATACAAAGCCCCAACTAGTTTTATAAAGAACATTATGATGAATTCATCTTTAAATTAAAACAGCTCTTAAAATAAAAATCATGTATTTTTCAAAAAGTAAAACTAAGTTTTCCACCAGGTGTAATGTTAAAACCACATATCATTGAGGTAAATGGTTATGGGCCAACATATCTCAGGGACCTCCCATCTGGTATCTTTGTTTTTACTCCAATACATTGGCACATAAGAACTATATGCTATATAATTGTTTAGTGTATCTTTTATATATGGGGCTTTTTAAAAAGATAAAATTTTAAGGTGGTGCTATTAAATTAGAAAACTCAATACATTTTAGAACCACTTTG